TTTCTCCTTTTCTGAGGGGATCTGAAAGAAGCAGTAAGCTGGAATGACTCTAAGCCCGAGGTAACGGCCCCGGTAGAAGTACTGTTGGTACATAAATGCATCTCTGTCTGAGTCACAGCAGCACTGCAGCCTGTGTGAGCCAGGAGGACAAGCTGTGTCCCAGGAGCAGCACAGACCCCAGGTTCCCGTAGCTCAGATCCAACACCAGGCCTGGGCAATAACGGATGGTGCACACACAGCAGGCACCAGGCAGCACCGTGGGCAGCCAGGTACAGGGCTGCTCATCACATCCACAGCAAACCAGCTCTAAGAAACCGAGGGCAACTCTGACCAGATTTCCCAGCCTAGTTCATTTGAAGTGAGAGGGATTTGTTTGCTTTTGAGGAGCAGGCGTATCTTACTCTGTGGCCGTTTGTTTTTTTTTAAACATTAACTATAAAAATCTCACAGCACTATATGTAACACCATTATATTTTGGGGATACATGCATTTTCCAAGCAGTCTAATGAACAACCTTGCCTCCGCACAAGAATCTCTGCATTCCTTATGGACAAAGTACAATTGTTCCTCAGCTCTACTGCTGTATTCCACTGTAAGAGCAAAACAAACACTCTAATAGGACTCGCTTGGCTGCACCAGCACTGCTTGTGAGATAGGCAGTGCGTTACTGGTACAGAACCACCAGGCAGCTGGGCAGTGTGTGGGATCCCAGCCAGGCCACAGAGACGAGGGAAGCACAGCATACGTGTGTCATGGAACACAACCACTGCGTCACACAGCATTTCCCAACGAGCAGCACCTCACACACGTCTGCACTCTCACATACCCTCCATCAAAAATACAAAGAGCCTCACGGCAGCCCACATCACAGCGTTTGGCGAGGCTCGGCTGCTCGTCCCGGGGCTCAGGGGAGCCGCCTCTGCTTACAAATCACTGCTCGACAACCGCAGTTAGTTGGCATCGCTGCCATCCAGCAGACTTTAAACCAATAAGATGTTTGCCTCTCCAAGTTCGCACAGAATTTGCGAGATCCATTCCGTTGCGGGACCCCCCCGGGCCGAGGGCACACGGCAGCTCCCTGCGGGGCCGGACCGGCTCCGCACCCCGGCATCCCGCAACGGGAGGCGGCATCGCCCGGCCCGACCGCCGGCAGAGGGCAGCGGCGGGCAGCGGCGGAGCGGGGCCGGCAGGGCGGATACGGAACGGCAGCGGGCCGCCCTCATCGCGCCCCGACGGCAGCGGGACGGCGGCTTTCAAAAGCCGGACCGCTTTTAAAAAGCTGCTTTCAGACTTCTGCTGAGAGGAGAACTCTTGCCATCGCTAGACCCGCGTAACGCGTGAAATACGGGTTTAGGAGTGTCAGCGTCAGCTGGGAAAGCGCTCCCCCCGGGGGGCTGCGTTAGGCCCTCTGCACAGCAGGATGCCCGCAGCACGCTGCCGTCGGGGTAAGCTCGCGGGGATCTACGAGCGAGCGTCGCGGTCAGATGGCACAATCCTGCAGCGGCTTGGAGCCCAGCAAACCTCCCTTGTTTTGGGTACGGGTGCATTTGCAAGAGTGGTAACAAATAACCGAGGGAGAACAGGGCGGGACTAAAAGACCAGTCAGCCTGTAGGCAGAGAAGTGGAACTGCACTACCAAATGGAAGGACTTTCCCTTGAAAGCCACTGATCTTTGGGCCTCGCTTCTAGGTGTCAGTCGAGAACAGTGTTTTCACCAAGGCTCTCACAATGCATTTATAATGCTCTTTTTGCCTAATATTTCATACCCAATATCCACACAACTTCAGAACTATCTATGCCATCCCAACCAGAAGCGCTTTGAAATGCACCCTTCAAAACAAACCTGGACTCCCATGGCTCACAGAGCTGCTGGAAGGCCTGGGAGCAGAGCCCAGCCCTCACACCTCCCAGCCTGGTGGGGCTGCTAAGGAATCAGCACTGTCCTGCAACCAGCGAGATAAGCACAAGGATAACACTACAGAAGCATCCGCTCTTCTACAAGTGTCCCATCCCCCCCAACCCACCCCACATCCCAGGCTGCCACACAAAACCCTACAAGTGTTGTTCTCCTATTACAATCAGATCTCAAAACAAGAAAACGCACCACTGAAAGTGAGGTGGAGAGCTGTTTACAGCAGCAAAGAACTGTGTTCAAGTGCCAATTATCCAAAACTTGCGTGAGAAAAACATTCCGGGGTGAACAACGTTCAGCTCCTCCTTTATATTCATTCCTCAAAACGTGACATTTATTCCCCAAACCTTAAATATTTTCCCGTATAATCAAAAGGACTCTCCAGACGTATGAGAGCTCCACCCTACGCGAGTTGATCTCATGCAGCAGCTGCATCAAAACCCTTGTTAAAGCTCCACTGAAAAATATCAGAGCTGTGTTACTTCTTCCATGGCAAATAAGTTAACATATAGAACAACACATTCTCCCTCCCATATCCTCCCGCTTGAAGATGCCCAAACCACAGCAAGCACCTTGCCTTTGTAAATGCTTTAATGGGAGTTCTAATCTCAGAAAAAGAAATCATCAGGAAGTGAGAAGCTATAAAATCCAAGAAGTTTCTGTAGAGCGTCAGATCTTTAAAGATGTCAAAGAGAAACACAATAAATATATGCTAAGCTAAAAAGGTAAGAGGCAAATGATAAGAGAGGGAGTCCAGCGTTAGAAAATACCCCCTGTAAGTTGGGGAAATGCAATCATCCTGCCAATGAAAAGCAGTCAACTCACACACTTTCTGTGCCACGCACACACCAAAGCAGAACTGTCAAATTGTTATAATTTGCATGGGAGGATTACAGATGAGACATACAATATTCTTTTGAAAGGCAGGGTTGTTTTGTTTTGGATCAGCAGCGATCCCCTGCACGCAGATCACCAGGCAAGGCAGCAGGAAGTCACAGCACCCATGCTGCAGGCAGTGTGGGGAATGCAGCATCGCTGCCTGTTCTGCACACGTATGAGCAGATCTACTTTCTATCCTGCATGCTCACAGAGCATTCTTTTTCCAAATACTCAAGTTTATTCTAGCATCTAAGCATACAAAACCACACAGCAGAAGCTAGCTATTAATTGCTCCTCTCCATCCTATTTCTAACCCTGCTGTGTCACAGATAACTCCGGACTGCTCACTTGGTACAGCCAGTTCTCTCAGCCCAAGTTGTGCAAAGCAAACCAGTGACCTCATGTGACTCAGCAGACATCAGAGAGGGGAAATAAACACATAAGCTGTTAGCACAGAATTGATGGTGGTCCAGAAAAGTAAGTCCTTATTCATTCTTCTCTGTGTGGAGCTTCAACTGAGCAGACCCCTAAGCATCCTATCCATTAACTCACATCCCTCACACTGAAGCAAACCACGGTCATTCCTCAGACCCTATGGGAAACTGAAGAGATGGAAAGAGATGTAACCTGCCCAATGTCTCTAATCACTTGTATTTACAAGTGCTTTCCCACTTCTAAGAGCAGACTGCAGTCTGTATCAAGAATTAACTCGCTACTTTCCAGCACTCTGAGAAATATATGCCAAAGACAACACACAGGAAACGCCACTATTTACTTCTGAACAACTGTTCACAAATATTGTTAACCTCCACACTGACCACATATCCCCAGACCAGTGCTCCCACTGGAACTGATGGAACACTGCACGGTTCCACACTTAATAACTGGTTTGCCAGACAAAAGCATCTTTTTCACCAACATATTTTTTTAATGCTCTGAAGATAGCATCCCAGCTAACAAAGATTCATTAGCTGTGAGAAACTGCTGGGAGAGAGTGACTCATCAGTCTGCTGTGCCAGCATTAGCATTGCTGTGCTCCACCAGCATCGCTACCTTCTGTGTGTGCTGGCAGTGGGTCCACATGGAAGCCTTACCAATCGAGGACGTGTGAAGCTATGGAAAATTTCTATTACAAATTTATAACTCACTGGTAGAAACTTGCTGATTTACCCACAGCAAGGCATTTCACTATGCACAGCAGAGGAATAAAGGTGCGTTTGGTTGAGACACACTTTAGTGCCTATTTTTCCACTTGAAGTTCCAGTGGATTTTTTCTCCTGTGTTACACCCTCCTCCGACCTTGTTCATGAGGACATGCAACAAATTCTACTAGTTACAACAGCTGTGATGCTACATACGACCTGAAAACCTGTTCCTCCCCCTCCCCTTTACTTCTTCCACAATCTCCATTTCTTCCAGTACTTCACTTCTGCAAGCTCCCATTCCCTAACATCAGGGAACGATCAGCAGTCAAGCAGCAGAGCTGGAGTTACTGTTGAGAGCTGGAGAACAGCAATGCCATACTCACAGCCTGAAATCAGCAAGAACACACCAGGTTTAGGCAGGCTTTGGTCAGGCTGCTCTGGTGCCAAGAATGCATTGGCCAACACTGGTCAGTTAACTCCTAGTCTAGCTAGAAGAAAGAACAAGTTTGCTTAGGACTGGCATAATTTGTCATGATTTCATCTTGGCTCAGATGAGCAGTTTGCTGTATTCTGGGCTTACGCTGACACGTATGTGTTCTGTCTACAGCTGAGGACAGACATGGGCCCGTAAGATGGGCTGACACCACAAACTACAGAAGACCGCAGTTTATCCAGGGGGAAGGTCAGACCTGAGAAGTTTATCAGGTAATCCTATGAAATACTTGTTATATGCCAGAAAGCAGCACTACCCAGAGTTTTAGTTGAGAACTTCCATGGGGAAACAGGCACTAGAATAAGCAATGAGACACTTCAAAGCAGCATGGCGCTTTGGATTCATTTTCACTTGGAGAAAACAGGTCATTTTTCCAAGGACTACCAAACCTTGCAGTTGATTCATATCTCATGCCCTGGTTTCAGAGGCAGCAGGTAATCATTTATGGAAGAAATAGCAACTGCTCTACTCACAAAGAAGATAAATCCCTTCTGACAGGTTCTCAGCAACACCAGGCAACATATCCACCAGTAGGCCAATGGTCACACACAGAAAAGAAAGCTGAACTCACCCAACTGGTGAAGGGGATCTCTAGCTGTGCAGCACTCCTCCTCAGCAAGCAGCCCAGGTCCAAGAGCTGCTCTCCCCCACGGCTGACTCTTATATGAGCCCAGGGCAGCTCCATCCTGAGTCCACTCCTTCTGTTCAGGTGTGGAGCTCAGGTGCAAGCGATGTTCCTGCACTCCCTGGGCCAGCCTCCCCCACATCACCAGGTGCTCAATCACCAGTTCAAGCTGTGACCTCGCAGTTCCCCCACAGCAACCAGGCACAAGAGCTGGGCTTCCTGCTGGATAAACACACGGAGCTGCTTGCTTCGTTAGAGGAGCAGGTGTGTCCCAGATGAATATCAGCTGATGGAGGTCTTTCCAAAACCCAATCCTGCTACTTCACAATTCTAACAATGCTTTTAGTCATGAGGAGAGCTTCTATATGGCAATTAATGTCCTCCCAAAAACCCAAATTTCAGCCTTGCTGTTTTTCCAGCATGCTAAAGAAACTGCAAACAGCTTCCATAGCCTCAAACTGATACCTGAGCAGGCAATCTCAAAACCTTCAGCTTCTATAAGGAGTACTAAACAGCCTTAAGGTTGCTGTTGAATTTTCTTTGCTGGTAACTGGTATAATTCACCCAGAAAGAACATCCTCTGATCACAAATCATCTAAGTGCTGTAACCCCATCAGCGATGGCATAATGAGCAATAAAACTCACCTCTATTGCATTTGGCTAAGCGGGGTATATTTTGATTCCTTTTGTTAGAAACAACAAGGTAAAGCAGGCAGAGATACAGGACAAGCAGAACACAGGACTGTCTGCTCAGCTAGAATTTGCAGAAATTCTATATTTTCCCTAAAGAACCTTTGAGTGGGCTGGGTTGAAAAGGACCACAATGACCACTGAAGATGAGCAACTCTGAAGGTAGGGCTTCTCACTTGGCTTTCTGTGCTCATAAAATAAAGGCAGGAGTAACAAAAATTGGCTTCATTAACTCCCATGGGTTGCAGTTATTACATCCCTGAACTAAGATGGGTAAACCTATTGATACAGCCCTCCCACTGTCAGTAATGTTATGTTATGAGCTTGGTGCTGGATTTTGGTTAATTACTTTTGAACTCCACTGTATTCTAAAACAAGCAAGTAGGTATGAGGAGGTGCTGGATTGCCATTGGGGTGGGATTTCTGGGGGCTGCTCAGGTGAGTGTTTGGTCCTCAAGTACTACAGAAGTGACAGGGATCCCACCATCCCAGTGCAATAATTCCTAATGTCTATGGCACGTGGATGGCCTGATCAAACAAAATGCAATGATCAATATGGCCACTGTTTGCTTTCTCTCCTGGTTTCTACAAACTGAGTATTTAGTTCTACCAGAATGTTGTAATCTCCATTTAGAGCACATCATTTAAAGTAACTATTTTGTTGGTCCCATTTCCTCCATAAGAGATATGCAGACACTGCGTGTTGCTGATCTCATCTTTGCCTATCGACACGTTTTGCAGAAGATACCCATCCCATCTGAAACGTGAGCTCCAAAGAAGGAACACAGTCAACAAGTCTCTGTAAACTTCCAGAAAAGCATAAATAAAGGAGCAGATTTAATGTTTAAAAGTTGTGAACATCCATTTTTCTTCATCTGTTGATACTTTAACTTACTGTACCTATCGTGTTTCATAGAAAACTAGCAAACAGATCTCACAACTTTGTTATATACCTAAAAGAAGATAAATAATGTAAACTAGTCTGGAAAAAAAAAAAGTTTCTGTATGCTGATATTCCTGTAAACTTCCAATATCTGCCAGCTCAAAAAAATCTATTCTCCATCAAACTGTATATTCAAAGGAATATCTACAGCATTTACTGTGCTTCCACCTCATTTTGAATCAGCACTGAATTAAAAGCATTGGAGGAAGCCGAGGTACACACAGACTCAGAAACACTTGGAAATCTGGCGTTAGGAACATCTGAAAGCACATCTGTCAGAATCTCCCTTTAATCCTCAGGAGAACACCACTTCTTTTGTCAGTTATCAGCATGATCTCGATCCGACACCCCCTGCCTTGGAATTCTGGAGTCACCCCCCATCTTTCAGCAGCAGCTAAGCACAGAATTAGCTCCAACAGCTGCTGGTGTCTGTGGCACAGCCTATTTCTGAGGGCTCAATGGAGACAGACACTCTGAAGCATGCCAGTACAGTGCTGAACAAAGGGAGCCATCCTCCCAAGCACCCACTGCTTCATCCTTACTGCTATTAGCAGCAAATGAGCAGAACTCCTGGCTGGAGCATTTACAAGGGCGGGGAATTCAAAACCAACATCCGAGGATCTCCAAATTCACCTGCCATCAATTTCAGGCCTGCCCACATTACCTGCAGCAGCTGCTTCTGTCCCTTCCATTTCCCATGCAGAAGGAAGTGAAGCACTAACACAGCCGTGGCCCGGCCCCAAAACAGGAGACGTTCCTCTCACAGGGATTTTAAAACATATTTTCACTGCATACAAGCAGTAAGAGTTTTGGTCAAATAAAGGAATCGGGTAAGGAAGCGCTCACAAGCAGGTCATGCCTGGATTCCTTCAAAACAAATGTTTCAGCCACCAAGCTCTTGTAGTGAGATGAAGGTGCCTCGTGTCTTTCTAATTGCTCCTCCCGTATCTGCCTCAGTAGCACCGTTTTTGTTAACGGATTACAATCAAATTTCTTCAATTTATTCCACATTCCTCAAAGTCTGCTAGTGTAAAGAATAACCCTTTTGAGCTACTGCCTTTCATGCAAACCCTCAGGTGGGTTCCAAATATGATTATATGATTACTAGACCCTACACATTCACTGGTTTCCATCATATCTATCATACTTGCTTCATTTCCTAAGAGAAAGGGCCTGATTCATTAAAAATTATATGCCCCATTTAAGCAGGTTTTCTGCATACTTTACTCGGGAAAAAAATGCCGAATGCCTTTTTTTCCCCCAGATAAAAGTATGTCTTTTTGGTGATTTATCATCCTCGCAGAGCTGGCAGAGAAGCGGCCGCCCCACGGAGCAGAGCTGCGCAAAGGGCAGCGCCCATAGCAAGGCCATGGTGATGGGCACTTCCAGCTGCCCAGCATGGCTTCAGACAGAACGAGGGCCACGTGCCCTCACTGCTTGCCATACTGCATCGTTGTGCATTTTTATTCGAGCTCTGTGACCCAGCTTGAATATCCCAGAACAGCGGAATTCACGCTAAGTTTCAGTTCAGTTTGGAAAGATGCCTGTCCAGGAGTCTGTGGGTCAGATGCAACCCACGGCCTACGGGGGGGATTTCTTTTGCAGAAGCACAGATTTTCATATTACTGTAATTTATCTGTCTTTATTACTTCAGAGATTTAAGTGATGGTTTGCTGTTAGCCGTGCCACAGTTAAGTAGAGGCACTTTTAATAATACCGGCAATGAAGTTCACTCCTGGGCGCAGAACGCAAACAAGGTTTCCAGCCCACCTGGAAGCCTCCACGTGGAGTTTGCACAGTGAGGCACCTTTGCATAACCTCTGTATGATGACAAATTTCAGAACTGAGAGGAAAAGAAGTATTTCCAACGTTTACCTCGCTAAACTGCTGCTGCTTTTTATTTCCTTTTTGGTCTGGGAGGGAAGCTATGGGGTGCGGACAGAGTGGTATGATACACAAAGGGGGAGATGTCTTTGAGTGAAGGTTGTTCTCTTACCAGCAAATTGCCGTTCTAGAGGTACTGAAGCTGAGCAGTGAGACCAATATCTCAGCAGATATTCCACCAGCACAGCAAGAAGCTCCCACTGACCACATGCTGAGCTGCTGTTGAAAGTATGGGAGACATGGAGCTGTGGAGTTCAGGGGAGAGAGGGCTCTGCAGTGAGTTTGTTCACGAGTCCTCTGCTGCGTTCATCCAACAAGATTCTGCACAGTTAATACATCTCAATGTATAATTCTAAGATTAAATTAAAAATTAAAAAGATTACCAAGCTGAGCAGAACGATCTACCTTTAAGATGATGCATTTTGTGCAGTCGTTACTTTCAGTCTCAGCTTCAGGAGACAGATGTTAATACACGAGAACACCGCTATTCTACACCACTCCTCACCATGAAAACTAACAAAAGCCAATGTTTTTACATCCAGTGCAAGGAACGTTTATCCTGTGACATGCTCTTACAGCATCTCTGTCTTTTATACCATAGAAACCACGGCTGAATCAGACAGTTCCACGGATGCTCTTGCAGAAGGCAGTTATTTGCTAACCTGTGCTAAGCATGCAGGAATAACAAAGGCCCTGCAGCCTCAGTCTCTGTGGACATCTGAATCTTACATGCATTAATTGCCTCTCAATTAGACAGTGCCCAGCAGAAATGCCAATGGAAATGCATTCTTACACAGCTGTGTGAGCCATTACCACGCAGGCATGTCTGGGATGTGGCTGAGCTAAAATTCAAGCTGTCCATATACCAATAGGGGATCGAGCTGTTCTTTGACTTTCATCTTTTAAGTTTTGTTCTGAACTCAGTGCCCGAGCTGTGCCATGAGGAGGGGGCAGTTATCACAGGGAATGCCTTTAGCTGCTGACCAAATGCTGCTTCACACCAAAGCTCATCCGGTCAGAAGCTCAGTTACTCAGAACTGTGCCACTTCAGCCATTATGTACCTGATTTTCAAAAGCAACCTATTCCACAGGCTGGCAAAAACCAAATGGTCACAACAAGCTTTTGCCTTGGCAAATGTAAAACTTTCCATCAACTCTAACAAAAGTGAAAAAAAAAAAAGACCATTTTCTATGGAATAGTTAGATAAATGGCACAGCAATCAAAGAGTTTGATGGACTAAGCAACAAACATTTGAAGCCGGGAACAAATGCCTCCAGCCACTACAAGCTCTCATTTCTGCATTCTAACAGCACACGTGGGTGGGGGTTTCAAGCAGTTTAACTGGATCCCATTTCATCAGAAATGCAGATGAAAGTTTTCACGAGTGCTTCTACCGAATTTCCCTCCTCTCTATTTAATATGCTCTTTCGGTGCACGTTTTCCACTTGTTTCACTACCCAGACTGCTGTCCCAACCAAAAGAG